CACTGGTGGGGTCCCTTAGCCTGGCCTGTGGGGATCGGGCCAAAACTGGCTCTCTGCATCCCCCGAGGGTTCCCAGATTGCGAGAGGGCACAGGGGAGGAACCGTAGGAGAGCTCCAGGGCATGTCCTGCACGTCTTACCCAGTCCCAATAGGCCAGACCCCAGCAGCAAGCTAACCTACCAGTCAGAGCATCTGCCCCTGGTCTAATGGTCGAATGAACAGTCAGACACTTAGCATATTAGGCTTTTATTATATAGAATATATGGTGTTTTATTTTTGCTTAATCCCTTCACTTGAACATTTTATTGCAATTGTTTTGGATTTACAGATTAATTAAGAGACTGAAGAAATTCATTGTTAACAGATTGTCTTACAAGAGATACTGAAGGATATCTTCAGAATGAGAGGAAATGACTATAAATAATTAGAGATGATGAGCACCAGAAATTATAAATTTATGAGTAAATAAATACTATACATATATTTTTCTCTTAATTTCTTTAAAAACATGCATTTTTGTTAGATTGTGTAAAGCAATAATTATAAGACTATATTGTTGCATTTATAACATATGTAGAAGTAATATGCATGACAATGAGGGAGGAGAACTGGAACTACTACATTTTGGCAGAATAAATCTAAAGTAGATTGGGATCAGTTAAAAGTTATATTTTAGTCCTTAGAGTAACTATTTAAAAATAATAATTTTGTTAAAAGTCAGCAAAAAAAAATAAAATACATATACATATACTAATATGTATACTAATAAATATTTAACACAAAAAAGACAATAAAGGAGGAACAGAAGAACAAAGACATAAGACATGGAAAAACAACTTTAGCTAACTGGTATTCATGGAACACTCCATCCAACAGCAGAATACATATTCTTTTTAAGCACACAGGGAGTATTACCCCTAAACAGATCATATAATAGGTCAGGGTCAGCAAACTATAGCCCAAGGGCCAGCTACCTAATTTCTTTTTCATCCTCACCTGAGGATATTTTTTTAAATATATTTTTTATTGCTTTCAGAGAAGAAGGGAGAGGGAGAGAGAGATAGAAACATCAGTAATGAGAGAGAATAACTAATCAGCTGCCTCCTGCACATTTCACACTGGGGATCAAAACTGTAACCCACATGGGCCCTGACTGTGGATCGAACCATGACCTCCTGGTTCATAGGTCAACGCTCAACCACTGAGCCATTCCGGCCTGGCTAAGGTTATATTTGTATTGACTTTAGAGAGAGGGGAAGGGAGAGAGAGAGAGAAACATCCATGGATTGCCTCCATATGCCCCGGCTGGGGCTTTAACCCAAAACCTAGGTATATGCCCTGACAGGGAATCAAACCCATAATCTTTTTGGTGTATAGGACAACACTCCAACCAGCTAAGACAAGCCACTTGTCTGGTTCCCAGCCACCTAATTTTTAAAAAACCTTTTAAACCATTTTTAAGTGTGCAATTCAGTGGCATTAATTACATAATATTGTGCAACCATTATCCATACCCAAAACTTTTTCATCATCCCAAGCATAAAATCAGTACCTATTAAATAATAATTCTCTATTCCTCATTCTCTTCAATCCCTTAAATCTACTTTCTGTCCCTATGAATTTACCTATTCTAATATTTCATATAAGTAAAGTCATACAATATTTGTTCTTGTGTGTCTGGCTTATTTCACTTAAAATAATGTTTTCAAATTCCATTCATACTATAGCATAGTTCATTCCATTTTATAGCTTAACAATATTCCATTATTTGTATATACCACATTTTTTTATCCATTCATTTATTGATCAACACTTGGGTTGTTTGTATCTTTTGGTTATCGTGAAAAACACAGCAGTGAATATTAGTGTACAAGTATCTATTTGAGACCCTGTTTTCAATTTTTTTAGGTATATACCTAGAAGTGGAATTGCTGAGTCATATAGTAATTTTATGTTTAGCTTTTGAAGGACCATTGAACAGTTTCCTATAGTGGTTGCACCCATTTGACATTCCCACAAGCCATGTACAAGGGTTCTAATTTCTCTCTATTGTCACCAATACATTAAATTTTTTTAAAATTATAGCCATTCTAATGGGTATGTGAAATGATATTAATTGTGGTTTTGATTTGCATTTACCTAATGACTAATGATGTTGAGCATCTTTTCACATGCTTATGCAGCTGCCTATTTTTGTAAATAAATGTTTATTTATTTACCTATTGTTGATGATTGCCTTCATCCCATAACAGCAGTTGAGTAGTCAAAGACTGTATGGCCGCAAGTATAAAATGTTTACTAGCTCACTGAGGCAGAAAGAGTTTGCTCACTCCCATGTTAGAGCATAAAAAAGCTTCATTATTTTTAAAACATTGAGATCATTCAAAGAATGGTCTCTGTTCAAGCCAGAATTCGATTAGAAATCAACATAAAAAAAATATGGGAAATCTGGAAATACTTAGAAATTTGGGATAATTTTGAAATTACAAGGGGATTTTGAATATTTCTAACAAAAAGACAGCATATCAAAATTTATAGAATGTAGTTAACCTAATACTTAATGGGTAAAGACTGAATACTCCCCTATGACTGGGAATAAGGCAAGAATGTCTACTCCTGTCACTTTTATTTGATATTGTACTGGAGGTATCTAACCAGAGTAATAAGGCAAGACAAATAAATCAAAAGCATACAGATCGGAAAGGAAAAAGTAAAACTTCTTTTTTTAAAATATATTTTATTGATTTTTTTACAGAGAGGAAGGGAGATCCATATGAGTTAGAAACATGAATGAGTGAGAAACATTGATCAGCTGCCTCCTGCACACACACTGAGCCAAACCGGTTAGGGCAGTAAAACTTCTTTAGTTACAGATACAGATGGTGCATGACAAGATTTGAACTTCAAACTTTGAATCTTGATATTTTCCTGGGCTAGCAATGTGTGGTATGATACTCTCTCTTCCTGATGGGAAGTGGCAGCAAGCTCCCAGTCAGCCACTTGGTCATGAGGATAAACAGCCCATACTCTACAGCAGTGGTTCTCAACCTGTGGGTCGCGATCCCTTTGGGGGTCGAACGACCCTTTCACCGCGGTCGCCTAAGACCATCGGAAAACACATATATAATTACATAATGTTTTTGTGATTAATCACTATGCTTTAATTATGTTCAATTTGTAACAATGAAATTGGGGGTCACCACAACATGAGGAACTGTATTAAAGGGTCGTGGCATTAGGAATGTTGAGAACCACTGCTCTACAGTGTAGTATTAAAAGCATTTTTTACTTAAGATGTTTTCAACTTACAATGGGGTTATCAGGACATAACCCATTATAAGTTGAGGTGTATCTGTAATATGATAAGAGATCTACAAATAAAATCTACTGGAATAAATGAATTTTGCAATACTGCAAGATACAGCTCATTATGCAATTCTTAGCTATATCTATAGATCTCTATATATATCTATATATATCTATATATATATCTATATATATCTATATATCTATATATCTATATCTATCTATATATATATATCTGTACATATATATATGTATATATATATCTCTGTAGTTTATACATATGCTCATTCATTTATTCATCTATTATGCAAACATTTAATGAGTGTCTGCTTTGTTTCCAACATAGGGCTGGGTTCAGAAGATTCCAGATACCTATCAGAGAGAAGTAGTCCAGTACACAACACCGAGCCTATTGAAACTACATAAACCAAAAACCTTGGTCAATCCTCTTTATGCTGGATTCCCAATACAAATCTTAACTTTGGCATTTCTCCCAAACTAAAACTTCCTCACACTTTTAATTTCTGTATAGGTATTGCAGAAGCTTATTAATTAAATTAGTTTAAACAAGATATATTCAGAGTTTTCTCTATGCCAAGTATCATAGTAGGTATTAATAATCTTAGCCAAAGCATGCATTGAATATATTTTGTTAAAATCAGTCAACTTCCTAGGTCAGAAATGTGCAGTTCTTTAAGTTTGCTGAAGTTTGCAGTTCTTGAAATTATGAATGTTCTTGGTCAGAAGTTTGCAGTGTACTGAGGGCCATAGACATGTAAACAAATAGTTATAATATCGTGTGAAAGAGCTGTGGCTGCTCTGTGAGCTTATGCATGAAGGATATGCTAAATAGCTCTGTCTAAGCATATCAGAAAAGACTGCACAGAGGGTAATTTTTGACCTGGCTTTTGAAAGTTGAGAGTTGATGGAGGACACTTAGTGTGACCTTAGCAAAGGTGGCATCCGAAAGAAGGCAGGAAGCTCTATTATTTCCCTGTTAGTCAGGGGCTCGCTACTCACACCACACTCTTAACTCCATTTCCACCAGTTCACCAAGTGCTATAAAGGGCCAGACATGTTTAGGTGCTATTCTCAGTTTCTAATTCAGTGGAACTTTTGTCATACTCCCTGTTTTCTGTTGGAAGTAGTCTTTTAAGTATTAAAAAATTTCAATTAGTATACTCTAGTCTCAAAGATGGAAAACATAAAAAATTGCAAATGTGTCACTTGGTGTTGAGAAGCATCACTCACTTCTATCCCTTGGTTCCTAGACTCAAACATGTTTGTTATGGAGAGCATAATATTGGTTCTTGGTCCAGATAATATATCCTATCCTCTGGGACCATCTTACAGTCTTGCAAGACCTTGTTGCCAAGCTAGAACCACAACCAGATGACTGTTTGACTCATCATTAAGAACTTGCATTTCAAGGATTGTTTGTGGTGAATACTCATGCCACACAACATTTTTATGCTTATTCCAAGAAATCTATCCACATAACACCTTGCCCCCAAACCTTGTCAATGGTCTGCCAATATTGTTTCTTAACAGTTAGGAGACAGTGGTCCTGGATTGTGAGAGGGATGTCCGACTGCCGGTTTAGGCCTGATCCCCAGGCAGAATTTTGTGAACCGGGCCTTATATAGTGTCTATATAAAAGCAGTGAACAACCCAAAAATAAATTAAGAAATCAGTTTCAGCTGAACCGGTTTGGCTCAGTGGATAGAGCGTCAGCCTGCGGACTCAAGGGTCCCAGGTTCGATTCCGGTCAAGGACATGTACCTTGGTTGCAGGCACATCCCCAGTGGGGGGGGGCGTGCAGGAGGCAGCTGATCGCTCTCTCTCATCGATGTTTCTAACTTGTGAACCGGGCCTCTAGTGTCTATATAAAAGCAATGACCAACCCAAAAATAAAAAAAGAAATCAGTTTCATTCGCAATAATAAAATACTTAGCAACACACTTAACAAGTGTAATATATCTGATCACTAAAAGCTATAGAGCAGAGCTAAGAAAATTTTTTAAAAATATGAACAAATGGCGAGATATTCTAAAGTTTTAAAACTGGATTGTGAGATGATTCCACAAATCCATAATTTAATAAAAATCACTAAACTGTACACTTAACAATTGGTGGGTTTAATGAAATGTAAATCATACCTCAATGCAGCTGTTTAAAAAATGGTATTTTAAATTACAACTCTGGGTTCAGGTGTTAGGATGCATTTATGTCAGAATGCTACATTTTATGTTGATACTTTTCAAATAAAAACTATTGAAGTAAATTTGAGGGTTTATTAAAACCAAGGTCTTTTTATATTATTCTAGTCTCTAATTCTTACATTAAACTGCTAAACATTGATCATTATAGATTTCAATTGCTAAACCTTCAAAATGCAATTATTGTCTGTGTCCACAGTTTAAAAAAAACTTAAAATGTATATTTTGTTAATGTTATTTGTTGAAACTATTGTGTTATGTTGATTACCATTAGATAGAGAAAACAGGGTGTTGTGGATGAAAATGAAGTCAAAGCTGTGGGTCTGGTTACAATTATTTCTATAATTGCCATGGCAGTAGAGCAGTTGTATTGGAAAGTGTTGTCGTTTACATGGAAGTTGGAAATTAGCAGATTTCCCACAGCATGTGACCCTTTATTGCTAGTCTAGCCCAGCCGGTGTGACTCAGTGGTTGAGCATCAACCTATGAACCAGGAGGTCACAGTTTAATTCCCAATCAGGGCACATGCCCGGGTTGTGGGCTCAATCCCCAGTGTAGGACATGCAGGAGGCAGCCGATCAATGATTCTCTCTCATCATTGATGTTTCTATCTTTCTCCTCCTCTACCGTCCTCTCTGAAATCAATTAAAAATATTGTTTAAAATATATATGCTAGTCTTCTCATTGTGAAAAATTCACACATGACATAATCCCTCTATTAACCATCTTTCTCTTAGGTGAGGAAGTCTTTCATGAAGCAGCATGTGTTATGTTAATTTCATGATTTTTGAGAAATATGAATTAATCTTCTAAAATTTTTGTTTCCTTTGTGGAGTGAAGTTTGACATTAATCTGTATGATATTAATCTTATTTTGTTTTTGGAAGTAAGAGAAAAACTAAAGCATCTTTTGTTTGGCACCTATTAACTGTCTTACCCTGTGTCTTTGAAGTGCAATTTCAGGGGAAATTTTAATGTGGTCTTCATTTTATATGCCTGTCATCTTTGAAAGGTCTTTACTGCTCCATAGTGCTCTTTGCACACTGACAACACTGAAGCGTGGTAAATGCCACCAGGCATCTGAGTAAATGCTCAGGACCCTATCTGGGTTCTAACTTCTGGACATGGATCTGGACTCAGGCAGTTCTCCTTCCTGCCACTGCAGCAGCTGATTCTAAGAGCCATTCCAATCCCCCCAACTTCTTCTTGGGTAGGAATCTAAGCAATCGATAAGGATAATTTTGCCTGGAGTATTTCCTAGAAGAAAGTGATCAAGTGGACAGAAAAGAGTGGGAAAGAGTGGCAGCTAATGTTGCCCTATGGTGAAGGGATCCTAGAGGTCTTAGCATTAAAAGTAGGAAGGGTTAGCCCTAGCTGGTTTGGCTCAGTGGATAGAGAGTTGGCCTGAGGACTGAAGGGTCCCAGGTTCGATTCCAGTCAAGGGCACATGCCTGGGTTGCAGGCTTGGTCCCCAGTGGGTGGCAGGTGTTCAATGATTCTCTCTCATCATTGATGTTTCTCTTTCTCTCTCCCTCTCCCTTCCTCTCTGAAATCAATAAAAATATATTTAAAAAAAGAGTTGGAAGGGTTAGATACCATTTTATTCAAAACCAGTCATTTCCCAGAACATAAAATTATCAGTTACCTACCTGCTATCTCCCTTTCCTTGTAACAAACCCTTGATTTTGTTTAGAGTAGCGATCAATGTTCCCAGAGTAAAATAATCACCTTCTAGCCTTCCTTGCAGCTAAGAGTGGACATGTGACCCATTTCTCACAAGGGAGATGTAAGTGGAGGTCATTGAATGGAATTTGGGGGAACGTTTTTAGGGAAAACATTTGGCTTGTATTCCTCTTTGTCTCTACTTTCCTCCTCCCTGCTTGTAAAACAGGCGTAAGATTAGTTGTTCAGCTCTAACACTGTGATTTTTATCATGCCCAGAAGCCATTCTGGGCATGGAAAATTTCACTTTTAGAGCAATCTGTCAAGTATTGTTAATATTAAAGAGGAATCCATTCAGCTACAGATCTCATTTGGATTCTATTAGTTTTCCTTACGAAAGCAAAGAGCATGCACAAGGTTCTACAGAACTTGAGGAGAAGCAACTTCAAAACAAAAAGCATTGTGATGGTGTCTTACCTCCTAATGAACCCCGCCCCCCGCCCCCCACCATGAACACTCAGCATGTTAATTTTTGCTGCTTGTCCTAATAGGCTATCTGGACCAACACAGAAGGAAAGCAACACATTGAAGAGGGGGACCAACGTTCTGGTAGAACAGTCAAGGAGTGATTATTGGACATTTAAGAAGAGGTGTGCAGGACAAAAAAAATTATGTACTTTTAGACTTCTGGGCCAAAGAGGAAAAAATTTTAAACGACCAAAAGAAGAGGCAAATAAGAAAAACCCCTGTCTCATCAAGCCTGCAAAATCCTATGCTCCCGTAAATGAGGTCATTTCCACCCTGCACCCTGCCGCTGATGCTGAGCCCAGTGCAAACTCTGCCAGCCTGCTTAAGGAAAGTGGTTCGCCCTGTAGTAAATCTTACATTTGTGTCTAATCTAATTATCGCTGGCAGAGATGTATATTTAGTAGGAAACCTCAGCCCTTATCGCTCTCCACCTTTTCAAGAAAGGTAAGACTGCCTAGAGTGAATAGACCAGAACTGACTTTGTTCAGCCAAGTTTTCTTTTCAACAGAAGCAAAGATTGTCAGGTATGAATGAAGCAGGAAGAAGACTGAGAGGCCATTGCTGCTGCAGCCTCCTAGGGGAGCTGCTATTTTAAAAAGAAGTGTAAAATGTGAGAAACATGCACTGAATGTTTAACTCAGTCACTGAAGCGAATGACTGGAAAGTGAGTTAGTCGCATAAGTAAGGGTGACAGTGTTTGTCCAGGAACCTTGCTGGCAGGAATGCTTTTTTAAAATTATTATTTAATTAAGGGAAGGTTGAGTATCAGGAGGATATAGAGATACAATCGACCTTACACACTTAAAGCGTTTAAAATACAATCCTCGTATTTGTTCTCATCTCAGAAGCGCCGGGGTTGGCCTTTGTTACCTATTGGATTTCAGGAAGGCTGACTTGAGATGCGGCGTTGCCATTTCCTGGGCCCTCACTTATTTTTTCTTTTCTTTTCTGTTTTTCCGGCGCTGGCAGCCAGATCCTTTGTTGTGCCTCCTCTGCATTCATTCTCTCTGCCCTCGCACCTCCAGACAGGGTGATGGGGGTTTATCCTGGTCCTCGAGCTGGGAGCTCCGGACGGCCACCTTCCCGGACATCGGATAAAGCACCACTTTAATCACCCAGTGGGTGTCCGGGCTGGGTCCGCGCCACACGGGAGCGGCCCCTCTTTTGTGTTGGGTGTTTGTCTCGGCAGCGGCCGGA